TCAAAATTATGAAAATGGAGCTCAAAGCCCTTGGTCTTTGGATAGCGGTTGTAGCAATCACATGACGGGGAATCGCGACATTTTTGTGGACCTTAATCCAAATATTACTTCACAAGTAATTCTTGGTGATGGAACATGTAGAGATGCGGTAGGAAAAGGCACCATTGCTGTCCAAATTAAAGAAGGTAACAAGAAACTCATCACAGATATTCTTTATGTTCCCAATCTTTCTCATAATCTCCTAAGTGTTGGACAACTTATTCAAAGTGACTTCTCTGTCCACTTTGATGATGGTGCATGTAAAGTTTTTGACAAAAAGAAAAATATTTGTGTGGCAAATATTGAAATGAAGAACAAGACATTTCCTCTTATGATGCCACTAAATGAGAATTGTGCACTCAAGGCAAGATATGGTCATCTTCATGAAAGAGGCCTTCATTTACTCCAAATGAAAAACATGGTGACGGGACTTCCTAACATCCAACACATAGACAAAATGTGCGAAGGATGCATCTATGGGAAATTGCACAAGTTGTCGTTTCCAAAATTTCATGGAGAACGAAAGCACCACTTGAGCTTGTGCACTCGGATATTTGTGGGCCAATGCAAACTCCCACTTTTGGAAACAAGAGATATTTTATTCTCTTTGTTGATGACTTCACAAGAATGATATGGGTTTTCTTCCTCAGTCAAAAATCTGAGGCATATTCCACATTTCTTCAATTCAAAGCTCAAGCAGAAAGGCAAAGTGGTTTTTTGATAAAAACTTTAAGGACCGATCGTGGAGGTGAATATCTCTATAATCCTTTCATGGAATATTGCAGAAAAAATGGCATCAAAAGACAATTAACTGTGAGTCGAACTCCGCAACAAAACGGCGTGGCCGAAAGAAAAAATCGCACAATTGTTGAAATGGCAAGAAGCATGCTAAAGGGCAAAGGACTTCCAAATCTGTATTGGGCAGAAGCTGTAAATACGGCAGTATACATTCTCAATCAGTCTCCAACAAAGGCTGTACGGAATAAAACTCCATACGAAGCTTGGAACAAAAAGAAGCCAATGGTTGATCACTTCAAAATATTTGGCAGCATTGCTTATGCTCTTATCCCTTCTCAAAATCGGGAGAAATTTGACGAGAAAGGACAAAAACTTGTCTTTGTTGGATATAGTGATGAATCTAAAGGATATCGGTTATTAGATCCAACTACAAACAAAATTACAGTTTCACGAGACGTTGTTTTTGATGAAGCTGCATCTTGGGATTGGAAAGGGAAAGAAGTTGTGGACCAGACACCATACCATTTTGTTGATCCATTAACATTTCAAGCAGGTCCGTCACAAGTTGGAAATTTAGAGCATAATCCAAACCCTACTCCAAGAAGTGAGGAAGAATCTGATCCAGAAAGCCCTCCAAGAAAGACACGTTCACTACAAGACATATATGAGTCATGTGAACTTGGGTTGTTCTCTAGTGAACCACAATCATTTGAAGAAGCCTCAAAAGAAGTATGTTGGACAAAAGCCATGAATGAAGAAATGTCCACAATCGAGAAAAACAAAACTTGGAAGCTTGTTGCCTTGCCAGAAGGGAAGAAAATCATTGGACTCAAGTGGGTCTATAAAATAAAATACAATGAAGATGGGTCGATCCAAAAGCACAAAGCACGTCTTGTTGCAAAAGGGTATTCTCAACAGCCCGAAATTGATTACACTGAAACATATGCTCCGGTTGCAAGAATGGAGACAATTCGTACTGTTTTGGCACTGGCAGCTCAATTGGAGGTATGTGTTTATCAACTTGATGTAAAATCGGCATTCTTAAATGGTGAAATTCAAGAAGAAGTTTATGTCGAGCAACCCGAAGGATTTGAAATCAAAGGACAAGAAGGAAAAGTCTATCGTTTATACAAGGCACTTTATGGTTTAAAGCAAGCGCCGCGAGCATGGAATAGCAAAATCAATAGCTATTTCATCAAAATGGATTCAATCGAAGCACGAGTGAATCATCTCTATATGTCAATAATCTTGGAAGAGACTTTCTTGTAGTATGTCTTTATGTGGATGATCTTCTATACTTTGGTACAAGTAAAAGCATGGTGGAAGAATTCAAGAAAGAGATGATGAGAGACTTTGAGATGAGTGACTTGGGTCAAATGAAATACTTTCTTGGCATCCAAGTCAAACAAAGCCCGGGAAGAATTTTTTTATCTCAAGAGAAGTATATTGATGATCTTCTAGAAAAATCCAGCATGAACCAGTGCAAGCCAGTCTCTACTCCAATGGGGCCGAATGAAAAATTCCAAGTCAATGATGATGCTGAAAAAGTAGATGCTACACTCTACCGAAAGTTAATTGGTTCACTCATCTACCTCAACACAAGGCCGGATATCACTCAATCAGTGAGTTTACTTTCCAGGTTCATGAATGAACCAAGCAAGAATCACTTTACGGCGGCAAAAAGAATTTTGAGATACCTTAAAAGTACAAAAAATCAAGGCATTGAGTTCAAAAAGGAAAATAACTTCAACCTTGTTGGCTACACTGACAGTGATTGGGCAGGCTCACTTGTTGACCGCAAAAGTACATCGGGCTACATCTTTTGTCTTGGAACAAATATTATTTCATGGAGTTCGAGGAAGCAAAGGTCTATAGCACTATCTTCTGCAGAAGCGGAATACATTGCAGCTGCGGATGCCGCTTGTGAAGCAGTTTGGCTTAGAAGAATTCTAAAAGACTTGATGATTGAACAACAAGAGCCAACAACAATACATTGCGACAATATGTCAGCAATTGCTATGACAAAAAATCCAGTTTTTCATGCCAGATCGAAGCATATTGAACTACGTCATCACTTCATTCGAGATTTGGTAAGTCGAGAAGAAATTTGCATGGAATTTATCAACACAAATGATCAACCAGCAGACATCTTAACAAAGGCAGTCACATTTGACAAGTTCGACAAGATTAAGGAAAAACTCAAGATTACAAATTAAGAGGGGGTGTTAAATGTGGCATTAATTTGTAATCTTAGAAAATAAATAAGGTTACATGCACTTCAAGAAAATGTATCAGGAAAATACATGATGCAAATTCATAAATTATTAGGTGTCCATTTATATTCCCATGTCTCTAGAGTTATCCATGTGGTCCTATAAATAGAGGTCATTCTTGTAGTCTCATTGTAAGGAAAAAAAAAAAGAAGAAAACATTATTGAGTGTGCTGTAGCAACTCAAAAACTATCAATAAAAATTCAAGTTTTTCTTCAACACTTCGTTTCCGCACTAACAAAGATTTGCCCTCTAAATGTACGTCGCTTTATATTATCTTTATGTCGAACTTATAATTCTACATTAACATAATTATCCTTGGGAAGTAGGTAAAGTACATTTGGCTTTTCATTTTAAGGATAGCATTTTACGTTTTAAGGAACATGTCCTCTCTTACTATTGAAATTAGTGTGGAGAAGGCAATTCTATATGCCCCAGTGACGGCAGGATGCAATATCCAGCAACTCAAAACACTTTCAGATGCCTAGCAACTCAAAACTCTCTCAGATGCCTCTCTCGCATGCTTGACGAGTCTATTCACACTGATGTCACCATCAACACTGCCGATGGAACACTACAAGCTCATAAGATGATTCTTTGTACAAGTTCGCAGGTGTTCCAGAGCATGTTCATGCATGACCTCAAGGAGAAAGAGTCGTCGACAGTTGACATGGAAGACATGTCGAGAGATTCTTGCATGGCGCTTATCAGTTACTTATATGGGAAGATAAACCAAGAAGATTTCTGGAAACACCGATTGGCTTTGCTTAGTGCAGCAAACAAATACGACATTGTAGAGTTGAAAGATGCTTGTGAGGAAAGTCTTCTAGAAGATATTAACTCAGGAAATGTCCTCGAGAGGTCGCAAGAGGCTTGGCTTTACGAGCTCGATAAGTTGAAGAAAGGGTGCCTGACGTATTTGTTCGATTTTGGCAAGATTTATTCCGTTAGAGACGAAATGCAAACGTTTCTCAGACACGCGGATAGAGAACTAGTGGTGGAGATGTTTCAAGAGGTGCTTACAGTTTGGAAACCAGCATAAATGATCGTCTTACGACGTATTTTCAGTGTGTAATGGAAATATACATGCACGAACTACCATTAGCTCACAATGTCATAAAAGGTTTTACACCTTGTGGTACCCTTTTTGGGTGAGGTGAGAAAAGGAAAAAAGTGTTCGCAGAGGAGCTAGATTATTGAGAAACGCTACAAATAATCACCCTTCCCCCCAGTGTGAGAAGGCTGTCATAGTTGCTGTCATAGCACCTCTCTAGATTATTAATGTGGGTCCCACGGCCATTTCTTTGTCTTAACGTGTGCATTATTTTGATCGTGAGAAAGCTATGTTTAATTTTCATTTATGATCGTTTTAAGTAGTAAAATAGTTTCGGCATAATCAATTTTCAAGATAACTTTGTATCAATACTTTTACCTCAAAAAAGAGTTTAGTTTGGATGGAAATGGGCTCTTTTTGAAAATATTTGATATTAGGGTTTTGAGTCCTTTTTACATAATTAGAAATTAGACCCACGAATTAATTGGTGAGACAATTGCTAGTCAAATGCAGTTTGATCCTAATATGTATCCAAGTGGTTGGTATATGCAACATTGGTCCCCAAACCAAGCTCGCTCTAGGGCACGTGTATTATTCTTAGGAATTTTAGAAGGCTTGGTCTAAAAATTCCTACCACTGCGCGATAACTTAGTAGGGTCAACATCGAGTGACAACTTTCTTAAATTCATAGATGGTTTCTAAAGGTACAATCCATCAAAAATGACTTGAGAATGACACAGAGGTACCCAGCGAGCCATATACCAACAACTTGCACTTATTGTAATACGGTATAGAAAGTTCTTGAATTTTCTCAATATTGAATGAGATAATTAGATCTAATAAAATAAAATTTTGCTAGGCACAATCTCTATTGCAACATATAAGAGGCATTATATCACATAACATTACTTTAAATTAGTTCGTATTAAGGTCATTTAACGAAAGTTTATGCACAAGTCTCAAAAACATTGGATGGATTTAAGACTATCGACATGTCTTTAATGAAGTAAAAATATACAATTTATATATATCTCTACTTCAAAATATAATGTCTTGAATGTATTTACTCCGAAACTAGTCCAATAAGAAGGAAAAGTGCAAAAAGACTTTTACTATTGCAAAATTCTCGACAACACTATGATTAACTCTCGAGAGAGTTTTACGAAAGAATTAACCCCCACCTAGAACAATTTTCAACCCTAATAAAACTCGATTTGATTCTTCAATTGAATACGGACGCAAGTAGAAAAACATAAATACAATGTATAAAAAATAATTACGTTGTTAAACTCGAACACCACCATAAAATATCCACTTCAAAAGCACCAACCAAATCATACAAGAACGTGGACACTCTCTCCACCGTGACAATTCTTCCACCCCTATCTTCAACATGTATCATTTGTGTGATAGAGAAACTCTCACAAAATATTTGGAGAACTTTAAATGCAATGCATAAATACACAGACCACGGAACTGTGAAAAATAATTCTCCATTGATACAAGATACTATCACACTCTCTTTCTCTCTCTAAAACCTCTTTCTCACACAACACACACTAAACCTAGCCATGGTTCAAACCATGCTATTCTCTGCTAGTAGTACAGTTTCTGGGCACGCATTGGATCTGAAGAAGGAGCAATTGATGATTCAGAGACTGAAGCCAAAGCCCTTTTCTCATTTCTTGTTACCACCTAAAACTTCATCTCCTTTATCTTCATCAACTACAACTGTTGCACTCTTCAAGTCAAAAGCAAAAGCACCCGCTAAGAAGGTACGTTTTTTAATTTTACTTTTAATTTTGCATGGTAAATTTGATGCATTGAATTTTTTAATTTTTATTTTTTTGACAGATTGCAGTTGTGAAGGAAAAGACAAAGGTAGAAGATGGCATTTTTGGGACCTCTGGAGGATTTGGTTTTACAAAGGAAAATGAACTCTTTGTAGGTCGTGTTGCCATGATCGGGTTCGCGGTGAGTTTTCTTGTTTTACCTAGATCCCAGCTTTACAATATTTTTTTTTTTATATTTATTTACTGATTTTATTTGCTTAAAGTAACTTAAAAGCTAAAATAATTTATAAAGATGGGGTAAAGTCAAATCTTTTTTCAAAATAAATTTAGTTATTATGATTCGAAATGTCGTACATGGAATTCCACACAAAATTGTATAAACAAGGATAAGGTATTTTTATAGTTTCATTTTTAACATACATAATCATAATCAACAATAAGAATTCGGTTCTTTATATATATGAACGTCCAGACACTCATTACGGTCAATTGATTGAACCTTATTACATGTAGATTATTAGCAAATTTCCTAGGATTGATTGACATTGCTTAAAACTAGTGCAGGCATCTTTGTTAGGAGAAGCAGTAACAGGAAAGGGAATTCTGTCACAACTAAATTTGGAAACTGGAATCCCCATTTATGAAGCTGAGCCTCTTCTTCTCTTCTTCATCCTTTTCAATCTGCTTGGAGCCATAGGAGCTTTAGGTGATCGTGGTCGTTTCGTCGACGAAACTCCGACCGGACTTGATAAGGCAGTTATAGCTCCTGGCAAAGGATTTCGGGGTGCATTAGGTCTTGGAGACGGTAAACAACTGTTCTGACTATTCTAGTTGTTTACATTGTCTAGTTCTATCTAATAGCATGTATCATACAATACATATGCTATTACTATATCTATTGGTCACTCCCCATTAATCAAAATATTAGACCATAATGTCATGCAAACTAACGAATCTGGATAGAATTAAAAGATCAATGGGCCATGTGGGTACTCCATAATAATTATGACCCATACCTTTAGCCAATTTAACTCTTAATATACTCATTATGCCTAGCATTGAGTGGAGTGGTATTGACCTTATCAATATCTCAAATCAACGTATCGAGTCTGTTTGGTAATTGGACCGAACCATTTGTCAAGCTACTATGAGTGTCTGTTCATCAACCATCAGTGACTTTAACATGCGACTCTACTAGACATTCTTGTCTAATTCTATTGAGTTTAACGTACCAAATGGATTTTCCAAGCCCTAACTAGTTTTTGCATGCACGCAGGTCCATTGTTTGGATTCACAAAATCAAATGAATTATTTGTTGGAAGATTGGCTCAACTGGGAATTGTTTTCTCCATAATTGGAGAAATTGTGACAGGAAAAGGGGCTCTGGCACAGTTGAATATAGAAACTGGAGTGCCCATAAATGAACTTGAACCTCTTCTGTTGTTCAACATCGTATTCTTCTTTATTGCTGCCATTAATCCTGGTACTGGAAAATTTGTGACTGATGAAGAAGAAGCATAAATATTATGTACCTGGTTTATTAAACTAAGGAGAAATTAAAATACTTCCATGTAGTATTTTGTAATTAGTGGGAACTTTGTCATTTATTTTTAAGAGTTTTTATTCGACTTGATCTATGTTTTTTCTTATTATTTAAGTATCTAGTTGGTCATTACGATTTCATTGTTCTTGTACAATCAATCTAATCCTCGATGACAGAAAGTGTTCAATTTTTTTTGGTTAAATGGTCACGTTACTCCCACATGTCCAATAATTCTTAAAAAATTTGAAGTGAGGCATATTGCAATGACATTTTACTACTTTGACAATATATTGAGGGCCAAATCTGCAATTTTCTCGATCTTTTTTCACTCCTTTATTTTAAAATAATTCTTTTACAAAAATGAGAAAGAAACGATTTATTTATTTATTTCCTAAGAGAAGCTATACTTGTACAGGAACTTGCTGAATTCAAAGGAAGCTCTCCTATAAAGTATAGCATTGTATCTATTTAATTTGCAATTTGCTAATTTTTAGATAAAACTAAACCAGACTGACTTTATCAAGAATAAAGAACCCTGCCAAATAAAACCTCAATAAAGTGGTTTGGCCGTGTAATTGCTTTAAATAAAGTAATAATTTATATTAAATGGATCGGAATTTAATGATTTATAAAGGCTTTACAAAATACATGTGTAATAAAAAATTTAGCTCATTTAATTGAAATCGACAAATTTGGAACATAGAAGTGTGAATTTTCATGACAAGCGAAAACATGCAATGCTAAAATATCTCGAATAATATAAGGATATGTTTAATATGTAGTATTGAACAAAACAGAACCAAACAATATAACATACAATACTTTAAACTTCTTTCTACTCATTGTCTAATCTTGTATAATCCATCCAACTAATCGATTCACAAAAATGATTACCATTCAACCACAAATTGAAATTTTACCAGCTTGAATTTCGTTCTTTTATGGAAAAGCATTAGTTCACAAGACAATTATCGATGAAAAGTTCGAACATTTATTCAATTATTAATGAGTTACAATCAAGAACATAAAACAAACAAAATTCTACACACAAAAATGAACTTCCATTCTATCACATAAACTTTACCTCTTCTCCCCGCATAAGCACCGAGCAGCTTGTAGAGCAAAATACGTGAGGATGATGTCAGCGCCTGCTCGTCTCAGACACATCAGCGACTCCATCATGACTCTCTCTTCATCAATCATTTTGAGAACCCCACCAGCCTTAATCATGGAGTATTCCCCAGAAACCTAAGTACGGCACATTCCAAGAAAGATGAGAAAAGGGAACTAAGTAGAAAAGTTCGTGGTTTTATGATGCATTTTCACTAAACCCTCGTGAATGTTTACTATGCATTATTAGACAGCGGACAACACAATAATTAACATTTTAGCTTATTTTTTGTGCTTCGATTTCTCTAGCGCTGTACGATCCTCCTTACAAAAAAAGGAGACATGTTTCGTTGAACATAAATTGTTTACTTTTAAGTAGTACCTGATATGCAGCAATGGGCAAAGGAGAGTTATCTCGCAAAAGCCTTATTATATCCAAGTAAGGCAGACCCGGTTTCACCTAATCCAAGTGAAAAACTATCAGAAAAAGACTAGGTTTTTTTTGCTCATTTGAATGCAGTCAAATTCACAAAAATGCAATAATATATTTCTTTATGTTTTGATAAACCAAATAAAGAAATGCTAACCAGAAGGATATCGGCTCCTTCAGACTCATCCTCGTGGGTTTCAATCAGAGCTTCTCTATAATTCGCAGGATTCATCTGATACCTTTTTTTAATACATGCCACATTTGTGGAAAAGTAAGATTTAACTGGTAGCTACTGATATTTCGGCCAAAAATAAAATAAAGAATTGGTGAGTTAAATACGTTTTCTTGTCACCAAAACGTGGGTTTGAGTCTAATGCTTCTCGGAAAGGTCCATAAAATGAACTTGCATACCTGAAACATCAATATGATCAACGTATGAAAATCAAGAACAAGTGAAAAACTGAAGGTGGAATAAGGAGACCAGAAAGTAAGAAAGCTTGACACCAAATCATGTAGAAATAATTTTAGAATTCCTCTCGATTAAGCATGTAAGAATTTAAATATCATTATAGAAGGATCAATAAACATATAATAAAAGCAAAGATAATACGAATAAGAACTGACTTTGCAGTGTAGGACATAATAGAAACATGCTGAAAGCCTTCAGCATCAAGAGCTTCTCTAATTGCTCCTACACGGCCATCCATCATGTCACTAGGGCTGACAACATCCGCCCCTGCTCTGGCCTAAATATGGAAATAAACAAAGTATTAAAATTACAAACTTGGTTTGCATGGTATTTTCGACAAAAAGTGCAAGTAACCCTTATATTCTATGTAAAGCATTAAAAACTCTGAAACTACGCATGTTGGGAACTTGACAATGTTGACATCAAAACTCAATCGACCAGGAAAATTATTTCAGTTATGACAGTGTGCTAAATAATAGAAGATCATTTTCAAATAGATTAAAAATCGAAGTTAAGACAGAAGATTTTGAGTTCACTTGTCTAAAAGACTTTGTATTACCGACAAGCGTATTTGATAAAGTAAAATCCAGGGTTACCTGGGCAACTGCCTGTTTACACAACTGATGCACAGTTTCATCATTCATTATAACTCCTGCAGGATATTGCAGTAAGTTCAACATTAATGGCCATGATACCTTGAATGAACTATACCCGCTCTTCCTCAAATATAATAAAATTCAGGGGCAGAGTATGAGACGTAAATAAAGAACTAGATGTCAACGTGGAATCATGTAATATGCTCTTTGTAATTTTCTTAAAGCTTGCATTAGAATGTACAACAACTAACTCATTACTAACATAAAGAGACGAGGAAGGGCGTGGTAATCGACGAAATGCTTCGGGGAGTTGAATATAAGCATAGATCCTGAGATTCTTGAATAGGGCAACCTTTCGAATTGCTACTGAATCCATGGGCAGACAAGAGACAACCTGGCGAACTGAAACATCTTAGTGGCCAGAGGAAAAGAAAGCAAAAGTGATTCCTGTAGTAGCGGTGAGCGAAATGGAAGCAGCCTAAACCGTGAAAAGGGGGTTGTGGGAGAGCAATACAAGCATCGTGCTGCTAGGCGAAGCAACACGAATGCTGCACCCTAGATGGTGAAAGTCTAGTCGCTGAAAGCATCACAAGCTTGCATTTGACTCGAGCTGCACAAGACATGTGGAATCCTACGTGAATCAGCAAGGACCACCTTGCAATGCTAAATACTCCTTGGTGACCATTAGCGAAATAGTACCGTGAGGAAAGGGTGAAAAGAACCCCATCGGGGAGTAAAATAGGCTAGAAATTTGAGCTCTAATTGATTTATTTTTTTATTTAAAAGGCAGGATTTTGCGATTCTTATAGATTTAGTTCATTGAAATTCCATCCAATGAAACGGAAGAATTATAAATCTCTAAAATAATAGATAGAAATACTGCAAATAGAGCCATAGCGACACCCATCAAAGGAGACCTCTTTTTGAAGCCGGACTTGAGTTTGAGATTAGAGACCGTACTTGTAAAGAGCTCGGAGGATTGCTTTATAAGTGAATGAGCCATGGGTATGGCGCACAAGCGATGGAGTCCTCATTCTAGAGTTGGGGATCATGAGGCCCCCCCCTCACTCCAAAAAGCAGAGGGGGAGCCGTAATTTGAACCCAACTCTGAAGAGTAAGACAAGCAAACAAACAACTTCTATAATTTACATATTTATCTGAAAATTCAAAATTTTGATGTCCCAATGCCTTGAAAGACACATTCTAGTCCTAATTAAGTGTCAAAGGATTCTCTAATTGTGACTTCCACATCCTTGCTGGAATTTTTCACAAAAAGAGAGAGAGAGAGGAGGAGGAGGGGGGGGGGGGGATTTCTTTTGAAAAAACAACACCAGAAGACCGTTTTGTTTCATGACTTTCATCTCATATAGGTAAAATTTTCAGTTAACCTTTAAAAAGCCTTTCATGAAGAACTTGTCTTCGACTGATGAGTCAATAAATTAGCAGGTGAATTACTCTCAGAATAAATCATGGCAAGTGTGTCTTACCATCTTCTCTGACGATGCCATCATGCCCATCAGAAGAATAGGATCTAATGCAACATCAGTGTAGATAATCTACATACACAGACATCATAAATTATCAAAGAAAATCAAATTTCCATTTAAAGCCACCCAATCTTGAAAGACTACAACCCCCCTCAGTGAAGAATAACATACAAGATCAGGATACTTGTCTTTTAACAGCCGTATTGTTCGAGGCACCAAACCATTTTCATTGTAAGCTTCATCTCCTGTAGAGGTCTGAAAGAGAAGAACCCATTAGTTAAATCAAATAACAAAATAAGAAAGTATTTGGGCAGAAGAAGAACCTTTAAAGCATCTGGAACTTTTGGAAAAAGCACAATGCTGTTAACACCGACATCCCGAGCCTTAGAGACCTGCATGAAGATATGTCAGCGAGTACACTAATCATTAATGAGGATATTACTTACCATGTGCAAAAAAAGTAACTAGAAAAATAATAGTTACTTGAACATGAACAATTTAATGGTAAATAGACGATAACATTTTCTTGGATTTGTTTCTACAGCGTATGCGCTCAGGTATTTCAGATTGATTATATTGCTAAGATCCCCATAGTATAAATCACATCGATGTGTGCAAACTTCGGGCTTGGTAAGAGCTTTCTAATGATATACAACAATTTTTCTTGAATAAAGAATCTATTAATCGATTGGTGTATAGCACAAATCGGAGCATCGATATGAACAACTCAAAGTAACTGCTTATGCAAGTTAGACACACACGACAATTTGCATCTGGTTATAGATAGCTATATCATCATAGAATGTTTCATGCAGAAGGCATAGCTGGTAGAGAATGTGACAACGCTTCTTTTGTGTTCATATTGCCATGCAAGGTCAGTTTATGTTTAGAAGTCACATTCAGAACTACGTTCTAGAGAAAAAATTTGGGTTAGAGTGCATGGAAGAACTCCATCATGTTCAAATATAAAAGACAAGCAAGAGGACAGTAACCTCTTCTACGAGTCCATGCCTCCAACCTAACCTATAACATCCGGGCATTGCCCC